AATGCAATCATACTGTATGACCCTCTCTCCATCTATCAACTGTTCAAGATGAGGAATACTGCCTAAATCTTCATTTGTAAATACTAAAGAAAAATCAAAATTTAATAACCCAGCCATTTCACAATCATCTTTATCATCCCTCAAGGGTCCTTCCTAACATTTTGTTTACCTATTAGTCTTAAAGGAATGGTGGGAAACAGTTTTAAAAATCTGATAAAATATACTTTGCAAATTCATTTAACAAAGTTCAAAATTTTTTGGGATAGTCAACATGATTTCACTAAGGGAAAATCGTTCCTTACTAATCTTTAGTTATTCTGTGGATAGGTTACTGCTTATGTAGATGAGAGTAAGGGTGTGAATTCAGTGTATGTGAATTTTCAAAAAGCATATGACAAGGTGCCACATAAGAGGCTTATTAAAAACTTATCTCCATGGGTGTACGATTGGCTGAATGGATAGAAAATTGGCTGGATAAAAGAAAGCAGAGGGTTGTTAAGGATAGAGTCCTGTCAAACTGGATTAATTTCACAAGTGGGGTAGCTCAGGTCTCAATGTTAGGACCTTTGCTCTTTTTTATTTTTATCAATGGCATGGATGAAGGAATAGTCAAATACTGATGGTATTAAAGTTTTAGGTGTTGCTGGATCTGAAGAAGAGGAGGCTGTTGCTTTACAAAAGGATTTAAGTTATTTGGCAAGTTGGAAGATTAAATGGCAGATGGAGTTTAATTATAATAAGTGCAAGATAATACATGTGGGATATCATAATTTTAATCATGAGTAGGCCACTGATGGGAATAAAAGCTTTATGGAAGAAAAGGATCTTGGCATTCTAACTGATTAGTCTTTTAAGCCATCCAAGCAATGTGCTTTTGCTAACGGTGGCTGAGCAAACAGGAGTTTAGGTTGTAACTAAAGAAATATTGAAAAAAAAAGTCTAAAAAGGTAATAATTTCTTTGTATAGGTCATTGTTTAAGCCAAATCTAGGGTACTGTGTTCAGTCTTGGGTACCTTACTTTAGGAAGACAATGAATTGTTGGAAAGGGTTCAGAGTAGGACAATAGGATGATAACAAGGATGGAAATGTTGTGATATGAACAAGAACAGGTTAAGATAGCTGAAACTGTTTTATCTTGAAAAATGATGAGTTAAAGGGGATCTGAATGAGGTGTTTAAGATTAACTAAGGGAATTGATAATGTTGGTTCATCATACGTTTTTTTGGACTTCGTGGTGAGAATGGTAGGACTAGGGACATAAATATAAATTTTACCAGAGTATAACTCACCTTCAGCTAAGACAGTTTTACTTTTTAACACAGTGATTGGTCTTCGAAATGTGTTGCTTTCACTTATATGTGATGGATACAGTTAATTTAATGATGACTTGATAAATATTTAAATGATAAGGACTGGATTTGAGTGTTTTTATTTTAGTTTAGTGGATGTGACTGCACAGATGGTCTAATACTATAGCCTAGGTCCCTTATTGTATATTACTGTTCGTATATTGGTTGTTACATATGATGTAATTATAACTTATAGAACTTAGCCGCATCAATTTTATACTTAACAAATTAATGTAGACTAATAAATATATCGTAAATTTACGTGATTCTAAAGATTTACGTTTGACTTATTCTACAACATAAACTGGTGATACAGCCTATTAGTATTAGTAAAGAAAAAATAACAGCGATTCCTAGCCTAGCCTAATCAGATTCTGAATATTATAATTTTGCTAAAAAATGAAAAGTATTTCACGATGAAAAAGAATGATCATGCCACTAAGGCCCTATCGACATGAATGTTAATAAAACAAAATTATAGCATTCCCTAATTACCTTTAACGTCCACCATTTCGACTAATACTGGGAAATATATAACTCAGAGCAATAAATGGAGGAGCCTGATTTCAATCGAGTAAGACTGTTATTGGGTAGAAGGCACTCACGTGACCAATTTGAGCCAGCCCCATAAGCACAACAGACTTGTGATTCATAGATTTCCTATAAAAAAACTGCCGTGCTGTTTAGCATGGGACTGTTCAAATCGATCTGGATGTAGGAAGATGATGCATCGTGCATGGGTTTCCTCGAGATCCAGGAGTTCAGAGACGGAAATGAAAAAATATAAGTTTATCCATGAATACAGGAAAGCAAACAACAACTTATTTGTGTGTGTTCCGTGAGCAGGCGTAGCTTATTCTTCGTTATTGTTCGTCGAGATCTCTTGGAAACCTCATATAACACGTAATTTTCTTTTAATCTTTTATAAATTTTGGCAGACAGCAAAACTTGGACTATTAGTATTAAATGCATCATTGTTAACTTGACTTGGGTTATCTATTGACTGAGTTAAAATTCTACAGTGTATTAACAAAAATGTGATAGTAATTAGAAAATAATCTGCATGACTGCATGTAGCAGGTTACCATGTGGGATCTTTATCAATCTTGGATATTTCATTTTATGCAGTTAAATAATGCGTTGGCAAATTATTATGTACCCTTCGCTTTTTTTTTTTTTTTTGTCAAATTTGCAAGCATTTGGACAACCCTGTTGACTGAACATTGTTATTTATATACATAAGCCCATAGGGATATAATTGAACATCTATCTTAAGGAGAATATAATTGTTATTGTTACGTCTCCGTTTGTTAATTAACTTTCCGTAACTTCGTTCCGACGAAACTTTAGCGACAAGTCCATACTTAATAAAACTAGTTTATTCTTTCCGAATATAACTTTACGATACACTTATTTTCAACAGTCGCTATTTTACAAACGTTTTAACAACGAACGTTAACTTCAACAATACGTCTCACTCTGACTGCAGTTCAATTACTCATTACCTACACACACATTACCGTCCCGTCACGTTGTCACCCTCTTTTATATACCAGCCTACCCTATATCTAGTAAATACTAGAGCATTCGCCAAGGTACAGGATAGTTCTAGAAAATAGGTGGCGCCACACCAGTCACGTGACCTCGATGACGCAACATTATTAAGAAGGTGAGTCGTTATGTAACT